CCCCCCCCCCCCCCCCACCGCTCAGGGATGGTCTGGTCAATAATGACAATTGGATGAAGCTTTCAAGAGTTATCGTGTTAACGAACGGACACACTGACCGAATCTAGTGTACTCACTTTTTGAGTACACAAAAACGAGTCACTTTTCGATGCTTACGATTATGAAACAGTCTATCAAGCATTATTATCTTCAGCTTTGGGCATGCCATGCAGATAGTGTATCTGCATGAATCAATAACCAGCACGACGAGTGCTCAGAATGCCGCTTTGTGCCTCAATTTTTTATCTTCTCTTCGCTGACACTTTCACTCGTTTATGACGGTAATCTCGTATTGAGTCCATATCGGTGGGCACTTTGGATACAAATTTAGTTATAAAATAATCGCGTGAACAGCTTGATTTTTCTCTTACTCTTTAGAAGCGAGAACGCTGGTGAATCGAATGTAAGAATTCTTTTATTTCTCCTTTTTCGCTTAAAATATTGAAAAAAATTCAAGATATTCAATGATCATACATTTATCTGTCTTTAATTGATTCAGTCAGTTTTTTCTTCTAGTCTCATCTACTTCGGCAAACAATAAAACAACACTATATCGTTTAGATAAGAATAAAAAATAATCATTCAACAATTTGTTTTTAATTTTCTTAGACTATTTAATTCTATGATGAAGAAATATTAAATCAAAAAGCACATCGCTACGAATTGTCTAAGTTTAAATCAATTTAGACATTCATTAATTGAAATTTATGTTCACCACTGATGCTTTTGCACATAGCCGTATGACAGAGAACGAAAGTTCAGCTAGTTATGATATATGTGTCCTGAATTCGAATGCTTTCATTTCGAAGAATGACCTAGGGAGCAGAGCAGCCAGATCAAAAATTGAAAAATCAGAAAATGACAGTTTTTGGCAAATTAGTAGATCTTCCGCTAAAATACTGGCATCAAAAATTCTGCTGCATTTCGGCTCACTGACTGGAACTTTATTTTCAAAGATATTTAAATAAAACGAAAGAAACTATAGCGAATATGTCGTCTAGCTAATACGCAAATATCAATAAAAGATACTTAATGTTGAGCTTCTTTTTAAATTTAAAACTTGTTCACAGAAACGAGCAGAACTAAATCACATACATTCTGCGTAGATTAAGAAATCCAACTAGAAAAAAACATTAAATTCCACTATCTCGGTATTGCTATTCATATTTCGCACTTTTGGAATTTGCTCTAGGATGTTTGTTTAAGATAACATATGCTAATAAAAATCTGCTCAAGAACTATTACCAATCACTTTTATTTTACGTTAAGCATTATCTGGTTTTATATTACTGGATTACGGTAATCGGACTATAGATGCTTCATAGAACCGAAAATCAATTCTACTCCAGAATTCGAATTCAAATGCGGAATATAAAAGATGTTTAATACAGAAAATTGATGGAACACTATTGATTTATTATAGTAATGGGTTATAATCGTACCTAATTTCAGTGACAAAGCAACGATCTGAAAATATTCCAAATTCAGGAAAAATCAGAAGATCTGGCCACCCTGCTAGGGAGTATAAATGTGGGTAGAATAAGCATTTTTTGTTAAAGTATTTGTCCTAACTGAGACGAATTTTCTAATCCGCGTCCTAATCTACCTTGTATATTTCAAGTTCGAAATTACGTATCAGTACAGATTTTCTTTTGTATAATTTCATATATTGTATTGTAATAAAAAACATTATGGATCATTGGTTGGTTTGGAGAACTTCTGGGGCCTCGCAGAATTTTAAATTCACGTTTCTTTTCGTGCTTAATTATTAAAGTATCACACGTACTTTAGCACATAATAAAGTATTTTAGTCGTTGTCAATACAAAAAAAGCGGCTGATGACAAAATATTCGAGATAAACAAGAAAGCAACCTGTCGAGTACCAGATGTAAGCATGACTTATTTACTTTCGATAGCATGCTAATAAAAACCCTGGAATACATTGGTGTTATGTTATCGTATTTTTCAAGTATATTTAGCAATTTCAATTTATCAACTAATTCAGCATCTGCGTACAACTCATTAGTTACATCATATATATTATATTGTCTATTTGCATTTTGATCCAAACAATCGGAAGCTTTTTTCTTGTCATTCTGTTCTTACTGAAATATTTTTTTCTCTTTTTCTTCTTCACTTTACATTGGGCTCGCGAACGACAAAGCATACAACCACAATCATAGCAAGATAAAAATAGTTGCTCGTTCTTTCGTATGTTTAGTAGAAGGTCGTTAACGTGCATGTGTGTGAGAAGAGCGACTGCGATTATTTCTCCCTGTCTATCTGCGGTTTTTTCCTCGCTCGTGGCGTAATTAGTACACAGCAGGTTCTTGATTTGACTACAACACTTTTCTTCGTCCAGTCAATATTTAGTTATTCAAGAATTTTGAAGACGTTGACTTGCCGTGTGAGCTTGTCTGGCAAATGTTCGTTTATTAACATATTTTTAAACTAGACTTTTGCTTCTTAATTGACTGCACACATGAACACCAAGGATATTATTTAAAGGTATAGAAAATCATCAAGAAAAATCGCTCAAAAAAAGCTGATTTTTATGATAACTCATTTTTATTCTAATTAAAAATAATTTCGATAGAAAAATTGAAAGCAATAAAAGATTAAATACAGATATAATCCAATTTGTGAAAATTCTGTTACAAAAACGAGGAAAACATTTTATAACTTTTGTGATAAAAAATTAGTTTTGATCTCTCACGTTTTGAAAATACTGTTCTAGATTTCGACTTTAAACAAGCGAAAAGATCAAGTCAACAATTATTAGATTTAAAAGCAATCATGTTTACTTTCAGAAGCGTACCTAAGTGGAGTTTCTAATCTAGAACTGCAATGCACTGCCTGAAAGAGTTCGTATAACAAGGAACATTCTGCCCCATACCCTGTTTGATCAAGAACGTCTTGGAGTTGGCAAGCCGCTTCTAAGTCGAGATTAGGTGCATTACATTTAAATCGAGATAATTTATAAATATACGAGAGAAAAATTCGCATCCTTAACTGATTACTGCAAGAATAATGCATTTTTATGACCTATTGTAAAGAGATGTAGTATTTTTAAACTTTGACTTGAAAATTTACATAGAAAAAAACACTTTAATTGGAGTAGTTGAATTTTGGTAGTCCTTATTAACTTCAACACTGGACATCAATGAGTGATTCGAACAGTTAATGCGAGCAGTAATATACGCTTTTACGGTAGTGGAACCCTAGAATAGAAACAAGCAAATAATTTGAAACTTAAAAAAACGCTGTGATCGTTAGTTTTTAAGTAACCCATTTGAGTATGTAAAATCGACTAAATGTAGTTTGTCTATTTAGAATTCAATGATGCATGCATCCAATTAGTAAAAACAAGCAAATAATTAATCCTGTTGTTCGACCACAGATTCAAAAGATCGATTTGATAATATTGCCACATACATTCGTTTGAGCAAAACAGCGACACATAGGCTAGGCAGCAGTATACTTTTTCCTGTTCATGTTCATTGACTGCCACTCTCCATCGTCATTGTCCAGCATTAATTCAACCTCCTTCTTCATTCTCTTTCTTTCTTCAACGCCATCGTCATCGTCCAATAATTGTCAGGGTTCAATTTCTATTCGTTCATTAATCAAACAATCGTGTACATAAAAACACATAGCTCAGCAGCAACTGTCATTTATTTTTATTGTTAAACATGCATGCAACAAAACCTCCTATTGATATAATACGTATTGATAAACGTTTATTAACAACTGATCATCTTTCCATTAAAACTAAATATATCAAAACTGAACCAATAACATCGTTGTCTAATGATAAAAATTTCAATGATGTTCGAAAGTTTATTAAATGTTCACCAGCGATTGTACCGCCAACAGCAGTCTCCTATTTACCTGATGGTCGAATACCAACACCGCCGCAACCTCCGAAATGTACTCCTTTAGATCTTAAACCAACGACACCAACTATTGTTTTAGGAACACGTCAAGAAGCTTTGTCGGGACAATTACAGCAATACTGTTTATCACAACCAATCTGCGTTATTCGAGGATTATCTAATGTACTTAAACTTGATTTAGGTTTATTCTCAACTAAAACACTGATTGCAACAGAACCCGAACATCAAATTGAAGTTCGTATGCAACGACAACAACCAAGTGACGTAAATTTCGATTTCAGCTCAACGACGGTGCCCTTTAAAAATGTCTGGAAATGTGAATCAAGCCGTTCATTTACAACAATAGCAAAATATGCTCAATATCAAGCGTATTCATATCATGATATGTTTAAAGATGATTCAAATGAATCGTCAACAAACAATTTAACAAATGGAATCTCGAAAAAAAGCTCAAATAAAAATTCGAGTAAGTTTTTCCTTGACAGCAACAGCTGCTGCAAAGCGAACTACGAGAAGTACTTCTTAACAGAATATGAGCTAGTCAGTTAACGAAAGTTTTGTTATACTTGTCTGTTCGAAAATGTTTACATCATAATCTTACGTTCTAACAAAATGGGTTAATTACTGAACCGGTATCCAGGGAGGAGCCTTTGGTGTTTCTTCGTACTCACATAGTGTTTTTAATAATGAAAAATTAAGTAACATGAGCAAATTTCTTAGATCCATATGAGCAGGATTGTCAAATGCTGATAACATTGTTTTTCATAAAGCTTTGTTTTATGTTTTACATTTTGAATTGTCTATTTCAATAGGAAATTCTGTCTCCAATTTAGTGTAATTATAGTTGTTAAGAGAGAAAAATCTAAGATATTAAGTTACTTAACTATTATTTCACTTTGTCTATTTATTAAAAATAAAATCTAGTATTTAAATGATCGTTTTTCAGCTGCCTGTATACGTACAATCAAATTTGGCACTAATGTTGATCTATCCGATGAAAAGAAATGGTCCGTACAATTAGCTGAGTTAAACAAATTGCCATTGTTTCTACGTGTTCAATCAACTGGAAATATTTTATCACACATTGGTCATACAATATTAGGTATGAATAGTGTGCAATTATATATGAAAGTACCTGGCTCAAGGACGCCAGGACATCAGGAAAACAATAATTTTTGTGCTGTGAATATTAATATTGGTCCAGGTGATTGTGAATGGTTTGCTGTTGATTTTCAATATTGGGGTGTGATACATACATTATGTGAGAAAAATGGTGTCAATTTTCTAGTTGGCTCCTGGTGGCCTATATTGGAAGATTTATATAATGCACACGTGCCTGTCTATCGTTTTATACAAAAACCTGGAGATCTTGTTTTTGTTAGTACAGGGTAAGGAAGCTTTATTAAATAGATAGATATTCTGTTTTTTAGCGAATATCGACACTTGTCAGTAGAATAGAAAGAGTTTTACTTTAAAACTTTTGAGGACTAATCAACTCAATGCTGAAATTGTTAAAAGAATGAATTTGTATCTATCGACAGATGTTGCTGTTCAGACTGTCAAAAATACCTTGAAAACGTTTCATTATAAATTGTGATAAACAATATTGTTCCAGTTGAAATTTATTCTACATTTTTACATATAAACTCAAGGTAATCGATAAATGCCAGAAGTGTAACATGATCTTGATTTACTCTACATAATTAATACAGCCGGATACCGAGTAAATATATAATATAGGCTCAGTAAATAAGTCTTACTATCAACTGTTACAATTATGCTGCGTTACACCTTTTAATTTGTGATGAAAGGCAATTAGTAGATACTATGAAGGCAACAAAACATTCTACTTGATGACTCCTACAATTATGCCATCGACATTCAGGTTAATTTCATAACAGACAAGTAGAAATTTTCAACTAGACTATTAGCCTTCGAATAATTCTTATTGAATAGAACTATATATATATTTATTCATTTATTTTCTAATAGATGTGTTCACTGGGTACAAGCGATTGGATGGTGTAATAATGTAGCCTGGAATGTTGGCCCGTTAACATACACACAATATTATGCTGCTATTGAACGTTATGAATGGAATAAATTAAATCCTTGCAAATCTATTGTGCCCATTATACATTTAACATGGAATATAGCTCGAAATATTCGTGTGAATGATCGTCAATTGTTCGATTTAATTAAATTTATTCTATATCAATCATTGAAATACATTCAATCGCTATTATCATATTTAGAAGAAGCGTTTGGTGACAATATTCCAATAAGAAAGCAATTACGGGCAACCAATGAGCCAGTACACTATTGTATAACATGTGAATGTGAAGTATTTAATATATTATTTGTCACAGAACTTGATCGTAAACATGTTGTACGATGTTTGGATTGTGCTTTACTTCATAATAAACAATTAGAAAATATTGTTGTTTTATATCAATTTATATTAGATGATCTCAAAACAATATACGAACAATTTCAACTATGTTTTATGCCAATATCAAATAATAAAAAACAAATCGAACTTTAATAAGTATATGATGATGATTCATTTTTTTCTTTTGTTGTTCATCTCTTTAATTGTCTTTTCTATCTTGTATGTAATTTATTTTGTTTTCTTTTTCTTTTTTGATATATATGATTGGGAACGTTTGTACACCAACAAAAGAAACAGATTAGATTGGAAAAAGGAAGAGATTGAGTACTAAGAATAAATTGTGTTGTATTCTCGATTATGACGAGACATTGTTGTTCTTTTTATATAAGTTTATATATATATGTATATCGTTGTTCGTTTTTTTTTCCTTCTTCACTATATATACATTGTAAGCAACGCAAACAGTGGATGAATTTGGTATAGAAATAAAAATCTAATTAAACAAGTTCGTTGAACTTTGATAAAGAAAAAAAAGAGTGATTTGTATGACCCCATTTCAAGTACGTGAACTGAACCTTGAAGCGATCAAAGGTTGGTATCTCTGTGCCTCTCGTTTGAATATAGGTGCACATATGTGTCTAACGTAAGTCTCGAAGTCAATCGTTGATAAGAGTAGAGAAGAGAAAAAAATTGAAGAACAAAGAAAAAAAAATGCATTTGTTTACGTCGTGTTGACTTGTTGCTATTACTACGAATCGAAGGTTTTGTTGTTTAATAATATCATTTGTCTTTCTTTTTTTCTCGCTTTTTGTTTGGTCACTATTCTTAGTATCAATCTCGGCTCTTTTCTGTTTTAGTTCGTATTTGCTGTTTTGCTTATAGACCTCAATAACCTTTTTTTTCTGCATTTCACATACATTTTTCTCGCGTCTCCTTATACGCATCTGTTGATTACTGCGTATTTATTTATTCTATAAAATGTCGAATGGATAACTACTGTACTTCCTCCCTCCTCTTTCTTTTTCTTTTGAGCAACCTTCAATATTTCTTTTTGTTTTACTGTCAACATAGTTTTATGCTTCAATTGATAAACTCTAATGAATTATGACTTAATTTTCGATTAATAAGGATGGCATTATTCCATATTGTAGTAATCTATTTATGGTACAATAAAGAAAAAGGCATTGAGATCTTCACACGCTTCTATTACTGTCGTTTTCTACCTTCGCTACCCTTCTCAACAAACGAAACTCTATACACAGATACGTACTCCAGAAGGCAAGAGGAATCAGAAAAGGACATAACAGCAGTACACGAGGGAAGGGAAGCAGAAAAAAAGAAAGAAGAAAAGGCGGACGAACAATCGACTTAACTGAGAGGAAGAGCAAGAAAACAGGTCACTTCTTTTTTTTCTGTATCTTGTATTCTGTTGTCGCCGATTTTGCCAAACTTTATCAGAAGTAGCACGTTATTTTTTCACAAACATACTCGGACATATGTATATTGTTTTATCAGCAGGTATGAATTAAACGTCATCATTGGTAAGAAAACAGTTTTCATTTTCAAGTCAAACGAATTATATCCATGTATATGTAATTAATAATATCGATGTTAATGGGACGACGAACCGACATTATTAATGATGATAGTGAACATCATTCAGGCTCGTTAATTCGAATGGCGCATGAATCTCAACTTAATTCTAATCAAAATTCGGACGAAGATAAACTATATGATGATCCATTGATACATGATACGATATTACCGCATCGTAAACGTGTTCGACGAGAGACTTTACTTTCTATTCAACAACAAAATTACTGTCAACCTCAGCAGTCTGAATCCACAGCACGATATTTCAAGATCAACGATGTAAGTAGTCTTCTTTTGTTTTTTTCTAATAACTTTTCTCTTATTAAATTGGAACAATAAAGTTAGTCGAAAGAAATTTTAATAACTGCTAATAACATTTTTATAGATAAACTTTGCAATAACATTTTCATAAAGTTGACCTTGAACGTGCTTAGTGCGCAATACTAATGTCTCAAGCGAACGAGAAAGAAAGGAGGGAGATGGAGAGTGTGTGTGTGGGGGGATGTAGCATCAGAGAAGAAAGAATAAAATGGCAAGGACAATAAATGAGTTGTGAGGGTGGTAGCCTTCGTTGGTGAAGGTCGACAAAACACTGACGGCGACCTTGTTGCAACTGCTACTATGTCTGATTCATATTCTTAGGATTATAACAAATAAAAAAAAGACGAAACGCACGATATTGAAGGTGAATAAATGTTGTATCATTGACGTAAATCAGTGAAAGGAAAACGTAACCGTAACAAAAACGACTTAACCTTGAAACTAGCAAACAATCATTGAAAATTGTGAATAAACAACCAAATACAAGAGAGAGAGAGAGAGAAAAAGGAATGTTCGATAATCTTCAGTCATGAAAACAGATTTAATTCCAAGGTCCTTTCGCTCTCGTCTGTTCTCTGTTTATAAACAACTATGAATTCAAGGGGAAAAATTGACTCCAACAAAAAACGAGATACTGTTATTGTTATCAGCAAACTAAACAGAGATAAAAATCATCAAAGATTGAAATATCATTTCATGAAATTTCTATTGTTTTGAGAATATTAAAGCAAAAGCTACTAACTAACCTCAATCGTTTCGTACTATAGGAATGACAATATGGTCTATATATGTATATACTCCGTTTCTCCTAAATTGCGTAGATAACGATCACATTATTTTCAAAACATAAGATCGAATCTATGGACATTCTCTCATATTGAAATAACCATGAATAAATTTGGCACGCATAAAATATTGTTTATCTTATTAAAGAGTATTCGTAAATAGACTATAGGTCACTAATAAATGATAACTGTTTTGTTTATTTTTGTATGTGTCTACAGAAATTCCTAAAGTTGATCGGACAGATCTATTTTCTTCATAATGGTAATTCACATAGAGAGTTTTCAATAGTGAAACGAATGGGAAATACCAGAACCTATTGAATACTCTATAACCAATTTTCTAGCATCAACAAATTGAAAGTAAACCTTCTTGTTTTGTTATGATGATACAAGTTAACCATTTCTCTGGGAAAATCCTACGCCACTAGATTTCTCACGAATTGATGCCGAAGAAATTATACCGATATTATGAGTTCAGTGTCTTGTCATGAATACAAGAATAATTTCCTCTGTAATTACAATCAACTTTTATATTATCAAATTCTGTGTAGTGAAAAATTATCGTTGATTTTCTCTAGAATTTCTTCGTTTTAAATTCTTAGTTACAATTTGCATGCAAATTGCGGAAAATTATGTTAAATATTAAGATTTTTTTCTTCGAATGATTCTTTTGATCTAAAAATAAGAATACAACCCTTCGCATCGAAGTTAAGCAGTAGACTAGACGAATCGGCGGTACTTGAAAATGAGACTGTGAAGGTCTTCTTTCATTTTATTTACCAGGTTAATATGTACTGAAGTGATTGAAAATCAAAAGGAGTGTTTTTTTCTTCTTGTCTTGTATAACAAGGTCGAACATAAGAGTTCACTTGTAGTCAGCTATAACAATGCAATTATCTAAACAAGAAACAATAAGCGAATATTATTTATGTTAATATAATATAGCAATCATTTTTCTTCTCCTTGCTAAGAACAGACCATAGATAAGTAAATCTTATCGAAATGAAAAATTCGCAAGAAGTCAAATACAAGGAATTATGGTGAAAATCGAATAACCTTTATAAGATCTAATAGATAAGAATAACGATCGATTTAGCAATAGAGATATTATCAAAGAATTAAAATAAAATATTTTATTATTCTTACATATCTATTGAATTTTTTTCTAGGATAACAGATATAATTTTTCTAATAATGAAATGAATGCAACAACAACAACAACAACAACAACCACAACATCTTCTTCACCAAATCCATTAACAACAGTAGCTGCTAATGGTCTTTTAAGTCTTTCAAGTAAGTTCATAACTTTTGATATTTTTTAAAATAATCTTATTAAAAAATAGATTCATTGATCATCAATACTAATGATCATAATGAATGTCATTCAAATATTTCAAGTGGCGACGGAACAACAGCATCAACAACAAATGAAGATTTATCATTATTGTGTTGTGTTTGTCAAGATCGTGCATCGGGCAGACATTATGGTGTACTTTCTTGTGAAGTAATTTACCTTTCTATCTGCATAAGACTTCATAGAATTCATTTGTCTATCTATTTCTTTAGGGTTGTAAAGGCTTTTTTAAACGAAGTATACGTAAACAAGTATTATACACATGTTTAAGTACGAAAGATTGTCCAATAAATAAATTCATGCGAAATCGGTAAATAATAAACTGATAGTTTTGACTTCTATTCTTATTTCTACGCATATAAAGGTGTCAATATTGTCGATTACAAAAATGTCTTCAAGTAGGCATGCGAGTTGAAGCTGTTCAAAATGAACGACGACCTTATACAAATAAGAATGAACTAGCATCCAATAGAAATAATAATCAATGCGTACGAAAACAAAATGAACACAATGTAAATAAAAATTTCAAATCTTTTTTTCTTCCTATGATTCATTTTGTTCTTTGTTTAGGTATTAAATTCATCTTCAAATGATATGCAATCATTTTCTAATAATAAAAATGATAGTGCAATGCGAATAGTAAATGAAAATAAAACTCTTCATAGCATTCTTTCGTCGACATCAAGAGTCAAAACGCCGACAACACGTATAGATTTTATTCTAAAATATTTTTCATTCGTATTCTATTGATTATTTTTGTAGCTGCTTTTCTTTCTCCTCCATCATCGTCATCGTCATCATCTATAAGTACAACAACAAATCTTCATATTGATTGTAATATGAAAATTGAAACAGCAAATAATCATCATGCCATAGCTATTACAAGAGCTTTTGATAATCTAGCAAAAGCTGCATCACATGTAATGAACCTTTTTTCTCTTATTGAAATTCTTGTAGCTATTAATTTACTAATAGACTCGATCAAATACAAATAATAAACCTGTTGTATCCACTCAACATCACTATCTTATTAATGAAAAATACTATTGGGAACAAATTGAACGTTAGTTCATCTACTGGCTTGTTTTTTGATCATATAGGAAATTTTACTTGAAATAAATTTAGGTCCACTGGTAACTGAGATGACTAGTATATTTACAATAACACCGCCGGCTCCTCCGATAAATCCTGATTTACAACCAACGAACAGTTTTATTTGTGAAACTGCATCGCGTATTCTTTTTCAGTCAATTGATTGGATTAAATGTAATACGTGTTTTCAAGCATTAGAGTAAGTCGATTAGCATTTTTTTTTCTTATTGATTCAATTTCTTGTTCGGTTTTCTAGTACACAACTTAAAATAATTCTCATACAAAACAATTGGTTACCATTATTTATTCTTAGTCTTCTGCAATGTTCGCCTACTGTTAATTTACCGAATATTTTAACAACATTACTTACTAGTAGGAGATTTTAGATAAATATTTATTTGAATTTTCGTTTTTGTTTTGTTTCTGTTCTAGAGAAATTAGATAACTATGAATCAAATAAGTATAACCAATTACGACGTATTCAATCGCTTTTATACGAGTTTGATCGTCTACAAGTGACATCTATCGAATACGCTTATTTAAAATTAATGTTAGTGTTTAATCCCAGTCAAAGCAATGGTAAATATAGTTCAAGATTATTTTATTCCTTTGGGGGAAAAAAGCAGCTTTGCGACAATCTACTTACGCATCAGATCCGACTTATTCTAGTCTAACGCACTTAAAAGAAACTATTTCTTATCTTTAGGATAGCTATCTGATTCTAACCTTGAGAATGTTCAATAAGCCTGATGCACATGTTAATGTTAAAACATTGAACTCAAGGGATTCTACCCATATATCGATGTTGTATAAAAGAATTTAACACGAGAAATAATCATAGAATGTATTCTGATGCTCATTTTCGAGTCTTTTCTATTTAAAGAAAAGTTACGCATTTTTGAAATAGACGTAATTGCCTTGAGCATTTCTATATAAATCTTCTACTGTCCCACGTCTTAGACTTAGAGAGACGTTTGATGTCTAATCCAAGACTATTTTATCAATCATTTTTCATCATAAAGTATGAAGTACTCATTCATTTTATTGGCTGAAATATTGCATAAAAATAGCTTAAGGGAATGAGTTCGGAAATAGAAATTTTATAACTCACCAGCGAAATCATACTTTGCATTTTAGCCGTTTATGCATTTTATTTTTTATCTTAATTTAGAATTTAGTCAATCCTACGATCAAATTGATGCATATCGTATATTAATATATAAAGAACTCCGCGATTGTTTAAACGATCGATTATTATCAACATCATATGATGAATTACGATTAGGTCGACTTTTACTTAAATTATCATCTTTAGCTGAAATTGATACGAGCATAATTGAAGAAATTTTCTTTGTTGGCTTAATTGGTACGTTGATTTTGTCATGAATAAAATTTATATTTCGTTTCTTTTGTCTATGTCTCTTAAAGGTTCAGTGCAAATCTCTAAAATCATTCCATGTATTTTTAAAATGAATGTTGCATCATCATCGTCGTCCTCGTCTTCAATGGTTAAATATGAAAAAGCCGATCAACAAGCACTTGTCTCGTCATCATTATAGAGAAGAAACATTTTTATCCGGTGTTCATAGTTTTGTTTTCTTGTATTTTACTATCTCAGGCGTGTGTATTGTTTATCCCCGTATTTATTTTATTTTTATCTTGCCTTATTTTTCAATGACTGACTGATACAGTCATTCCGCATGTATGTTATATTTGTAGGCAACAGATAATAAATTGACGAATATCTCAGGCTAATGATAGAATTCATCAATTCGAATGTAATAACCTATTTAATAAAAGAAAAAGGATCAATCAATATTTCAATGAAGAAAAACTGAAGTTCAATAATTGGATCGAAGAATATCACATTGTTTTTCTTAATCACTTTTATTAGACGACGAAGAAAAAAACGAGATGATGAAGTCAACATTGTTCGAACCACAAAAAAATTCGTCTTTTTTCCAGTAATATACCGGTACTTTCGTTTTTTCAGGATTTCAATATTACGAAAAGTGTAAAACAATCTATAAAAAAGTTTCAGTAAAAATTCCAACAACATATTATTATTTTAAACACAATCATTTTTCTGAGCTCACTTATTTATCGATAAAAATAGCATAGACTCATAAAACTCTCTTCTCTGCTACGCATAATGACAAAGCAAATAATGTCAGAAGCAAATCCTTTTATAATATCATGACTCGTTTTAGTGCTATGTTCATTTAACTTTTATAAGATGAACGATAACACCATAGCACTCCTTATTCTTACTATTATACAAATCCCTTCATTTTTTTTGTGCTTTACAAAGTATTCGTTTCGGTGAAAAGAACAATCCATTAAAACAATTACAAAATCATGTACTCGCTTGTTTATTATATGCATCTATATGGGCAATTGCATTGGATTTACCATTTACACAAGCCTATCTATGGTCTTGTTTGCACCTGCTCGTACCACATGGGCTTGTACCATATTCAATATTTCCTTCTTTACCATGTCCGGAATGAATCGTGTATTGATGGCATTCATGCATATTGAACGGCATTTTCTTGTTTTTTCGTCCTAATTATTATCACACACGTCGCTCTCGCGTATTATCTCATTATATTCCACTTTTTCTTACTATATTAAATGATATAATATATTATATTACTATGAATGCTATTGTAACATGTGGTGATCTACACTTTGATTATTCTCGTTTTACGTGTGGCTATACGTGCGCAGTTCGTGAAAAACATTTGGCAACAACTTACATATGGCTTGATACTTTCTCGCCTATGTTATTGACAATAGTCTCAAGTATTCTCTTGCCCATTCGATTTGTTATTCAGAAGAAAAGCCTTCAACGTTTACAATGGTATCGTGCTCGAAAAATGATTATGCAGGCTGTACTAGTTGCTGGTGCATACATCATATGTTGGCTATCTTATACAATAGTTCTTCAATCGAAATGTATCTTTATTTTTCATATATGCATCTTATGCTATGCCATTGTTGACGCCATTTCTCGTTCAATATACCATACCGGGATGGTTGAATACAGAAATGATAAATCCAATAAAAGTTTATTTTATTCTACGACATAGATTAATTCAACCACGTATTACATTGATTATTTAACAATTAAACAATAACGACAGATTATAAACGTTTCTAATAAACTATACCCGTGTGCACGAAAATATATGCGCGTACAATGAAAACAGCAGATCTTTTCTTTTAATAGACTTGTTGATTTATTCTTGCCCTATCGTGTGCCTTGTACGTCAAGTCATAAATTTGAAAGAAAAATATCATACTATAATCAAATGAATCGTACTACGTAAGATCAGAGTATAAACACCGATAGCGCATTGCTGCAGAGCGTGAACGGAAGACATTCCTAAGAAATTTTGAACACTGCCCTTTCAGAAAAGAATAACAGAGTAGAACACTGATGGGTATGCCATAATCAATTGTAGTAGTTTACATTGATTTTTTTGTTGTTGAGTAAGTGGCACATTAAATTAAACCGGAACAACGTCATGATGCTTAAATTTATCAACAGAAATATCGTAGAATTCCAATCCATCCTAACATTCTATAAACCGATTGGATCTATGCCATTCTGTATGATATATATCAATTCAGTAAAACATCTCTTAGAAGTAAATTGTAGTTTATAGATCAAGGTAATCGTTTTTAAATTAATATCAGTTAAGTAGTATAAAAATTGTTGGTAGGCCATTCGGTGTAAAGTATTTGACATCGGTTGTTAGTCATAAAAAACAACCGGTAAACTTGTAAGTAGCTACTAATGATATAAATAAGTATGTCAGAGAGTGCGATACTGAAAAAAAGAAATTTCCTAAAGGTACAATTTTTTGTCATCTTGCCTCACAGTTCTATTTCGACAAAGAAAACGTAGTTTAACTCCTGTTCTCAGATACTTTGTTCCCACGTCTTGTACCAATCGAGATTTCAAATATCTCCAACAAATGAAGTATTTTCAAACTGAATTCAATCAGTTGATTTATCGATCCTATTGCTGCAAATGTTGTGTTTTAAAATATTGTACCTTTAAAAATTGAATGAATAGAATAACGGTTGATAAAAAAAACAGCCTGCATGTTTTTTATGCATCCTATTCAAAGTACACGCTCGCTATTTTTTCCTTCGTGATAAAAGATTCAGAATGATCATCTGACACAGAACAGATGATGATTCATACCAAGCACTTGCGTCTTACTTATTTTTTTCCATTTCAGTAGGAAAATATGATTCACATTATTTAACGATTTTTTTTATATTTATTACTACTTATAAAACTGACAGTCAATATGATATTACAGTAAATATTACAACAATGTGGTGCAAGGACATAAATTTTCTTTTTCCTTTTTTTTCTTTGTCGCATGTTTTCTTTCATTTTACCTTACATTTACATCAAAACAACGCAGAAGAATGGACGTCAGTAAGACGTCTACTTCTGAGCCTGTTGAAAAGCATTATGCTGAAATAGCACGAAAAACAGCAGCAGCAATTCGTGCCGAAGGGACACCACCGATTGTTAATAATGGATTATCTATTCCACAATCCCTTCCGGAATTACCACGCTATCAACCACCACGCCCTAGATCACCACCACAGGAGAGAGAAAGAATGATGTGTCGTATGTTTTTTCCAACATCAGGTCATATGGGATTTGATACCGTTAAATTATCCGATGAACTTCCTCCGATTGAAACAGTTCGCGAAATGATTCTTTATGAAACACGTCTTCGATTGTCGGATTCAATTCAAAAACTCATGGATGAATATCACACTGACGAGGCAGCTGTTACGTACGTATCATTTTCGTATTGCTGAACAATTGAAAGTTGAATTTTTCGGCTATTTTAGTTATGTACATGATCTTGTACAACAACATGTAGTCAAACATTTCGGATGTCAAGATGTCAATGCATTACGTACTGCTCTATATCGTTTTCCAGACGATCCTATCATTCAAGCAGCTTTTTATGGTAAATATTTCGAAAAGATAAGTTCTATGGTTTATGCATTTTTTCTTTTTTTGTAGTTAAATACAACAAAATTTCACAAGGTGTAGTTCAACAAAATGAATGCGCTCGAGATGTCAACTTGTATAATACAGATGGGCAACCAACGACACTCTTCTCGCAAATTTCAGCTGGCCAACCATTAATAATATTGGCCGGCTCAACTACCTGACCTCCATTTCGTGCAAATGTTGAGCGAATGAAGTAAAAGTCTTACTTTGAATTTAAACCTATAATGTTTTTCTGCTTTTCATTTAGCGCGCTTGTTCGCTCACATGTGCCGAATGGAATAAAACTCGTTGCAATCTATATTGCTGAGGCACATTCAAAAGATGAATGGCCAGTTGGTGAAACAATTTCATGCGTTGAACAACCGAAAACACTTGAAGAACGACTTGAAAATGCTCGAAGATTCAAAAAGAATTTCAACTTCGAAATGCCGATGCTTGTCGATGATATGAACAATACTTTTCATAACACCTATGGATCATGGCCATTTCGATTCTTTGTCATCTATGAAGGTCAATTATTATTGAAAGCAGAACCTGATGCAGAAATGTTCACCTATGATCTAGACGAGATCGACAAATGGATTGCAAATTTCTATGAATCACGTTCTCAAACCATCTAACATGTTGATAGATCAGACAACGGCTTTCTTCTTTCTATTTCCTATCGATCTATTTGAGAATCCTCAATTAAAACACAAGTTTAACATAACTCAATGATAACTATGAATTAAAATCACATTTTGTGAATATTCATTGTTTGATAAATATATGTTCAACTTTCGAGGAATTTTTAGCGCGTTAAAACTCTCGAATAGATCTTGATGGAATTAGTAAGAAAAAATTTATCCGTTGTCAGTTTTATAATTTTCTATTTATTTTAATAAATGTCACCAGCAATGAAAGATAAATCGTTATTTATTTTATATTGATAAGATATGCGATAACCAAAAAAAAGAATTTACGAAATATATTGTTTGCTATTTAAAAAGTTTCTAAACAGCCTTTCTCCAGTATCCATTTGAGTAAAATTGGTCAGTCCAAATTGTCATCAAGTCAGTTTTACGCTTAAACGAACTTGGAAATTTTCTTCGTAAATGTTCATCGAGTAAATTTTGATTACGATTATCAGACAATGAAATTTGGAAATTAATCACTTTGGATGCTAGAAATCAAAGTTATCGTAGCGAGTTCTTTGTTAATAGAAGGTTGAGTAATCTAATTGTATTGACAACTATTTTTTCCAAGGAAGCAAATCATTTCGAAATAATCCTAACATCTTTTCTATTAAAACTATGTTCATTCGCCAATATATCAATATGTTTTATTTAATTATCTCCGTTAAAATAAAGAAACATTTTAATTAACAAGTAAAAGTTTTTATTCAATTTGAAGTGAAACAATATTTCTAACACATGATGACAATGTACGTATCAGAGCTCCAAACAGACCGTCAAGCCTGCCTGTGACAGGCACAGGCCTAGATTTTAGAGTCTGTCATGTGACAGGCAGGTCAGATCAGGCAGGCTGCTTTTAACTAGTCATTAACATTAAGTACCTGTGTAGAATTGTTGTTGATATTATCATACCACGAGATACATACTCGATCAATACATTGTAGTTCTTGATTTTTTGTCACGATCAGTGTGCTATACTTACGATCTTTTAATCTGATAAAGCACGCGTTTATCTCTGGTCTTTTTAAACTAAGTGATGATCTAGATAAAATAGTTTCGAAAAGCTAGGGTTCTATTTTACAACAAGATCTCATTCGTACATTGTGTTTAATACCAAATATTGAACTTTCTCCTTTAACACAAGCATCACCCATGTAGCCGATTTTACGAAATAATGGAAATCACAATGCATTATTTTCCTATAGGGGTGCAAAGGATGCAATTACATGATAATGCAACTTCAGGTCGATCAAAACGGACCACCGTAAACCGGCGTAACATTATCGTAAACGGTCGTTTTTGCATCGTATTCCGTCGTAAAACGGTCGTTTTAAGCCGTATTAAGGCGTTTTAACAGGGGCAGTATTACGGCCATACATGGACACCGTATATCAGCCGTAAAACCTCGTAAAGTCGGCGTAATATTATCGTATTCTATAGAACATACAGCCGTATTACTGCCCCTGCTATACGGGGAAAATACGGCACGTAAAACGGGCCGTATTTGTATCGTATACAACCGTTTACTGATCGTTTTCTTCGACCGGGAGGATATCAAGAAGTATCGAATATTGTTTCGTTTTCTGTTAACACAGCTATACATCATGTTTTTACGCTTCCTTTTGAGTTTACCAAGCTCCTGGGTATTGGTAATATGTTTTCAAACACTGTATTCAAAAATGTCATCGAATTAAGGGTACATGATGTGGTTCCACTTGAACATGAATTCTTCTTACGAATAGCTCAAGCTTTTCCAAGATTACAACGCTTCTATGTTACCGATCTTTCACTGCATTCACATAATTCGAAGAAATCAACTGACAACGTCGCATCACATAAAATAGTTGAATATCCTCATCTGACTTTCTTCCTTGACATTACGAGAGTAGACACTAACTATGTAGAACAGTTGTTAGATGAAACCAAAACGCATCTACCTTCCTTAACTGAATTACATGTTCGATATGAAGATTTAAGAGTTGTAACAGAAGATCTCACAAGAGAACTAACACGGCGCAATTGTGTCAAAGTGACACGATTAACAACTTGGAGAGAAATTGTTGGTTCGAAGGACTTTTACATTTACTTTCCTTTGCTGTAAATTGATTTTTATTCTATCCTTTTTGTAATACAATCAAAAAAAAAGAATAGTTTATTTGTGACAATTGATCAATGAGATAATCGATAGTGTTCATTCACATTAATAAGAATAGATAAAAAGGCACGACAAGTTTTTACATTAATAATTAGTAATTATTTTCTTTATTTCCCATTGCCAATTGATTTTGTATTTGAACTAAAAAAAAGCAAAAATTAGTATTTGGATATATTTGATGGAAGATATTCCATACTCTGATCTCTCGCTCTAACATTTCATTAGCTATTAAGTAGTCTTGTTTTTGTTGCTTTAAATCATGAATGCCCCAGGACAATCATTCCGACCGCCGGAACGATCATCTTAACAGGCCTGAAGCGGCTATAAAATGGTATAATAAGGCGTTAATTTTTACCTTATTTCACCGTAATTCGTCTACTCGTTTTACGGACCGTTTTTTCCGCTAGAAAGCGGTCATCGTTTTTAACAATATATTCGTTGTTTTCCGAGCTGCCGGAAAACGGCGCCGTTTTTCAACGTTTTATACCGTTTTTACGTCTTTTACGGCCATTTGCGCACCGTTTTCTTGGGCCTGGGGCGTTGTTCAATAATTCGTTTTTCACCATCACGACGATTGGAATTATTCAAATTACTTTGTTGTTGTGACAACTCTCCTTCAATACGCGTTATTTCTCCATTATTTCGCACGATCTAAACGAAATACTGATGCTTATGATGTGATGCATTCGTAAACTATTACATCGTTCCGGATTGCTTGAATATCACCCATGTGTTCTGGAAAGAAAAAGCTTATAAATGAGTTAGATTATAGTTAACGATTGATATATTGAAATAGGTGATACTATGCTACTGAAATACAAGGTAGATTTTTAGAGAAAAATCATGCATAAACGATTCTCCAGCTTTTGCTGATTATCACTCGACCTCATGAAGGGAACAAAAGATTAAATGAAAGATATTTGTATTAAATACAGAGAAGGAAAACGAAGAAGTATTTTCGAAAATATCTATTCTTTTTTCCTATTATTATGCATCCTTTATAAAGACCATCGCAGAACAGGGCAAGTTAGAGTAACACCCCTTAACAGAATGTGTATTTCACAAAATATTAAGATCTTGATAAAAGTTTTTATTTCTTTTGAATTTAGTATCCCTTTTTTCATTACATATTCAGAAGAATATCACAATCAAACTCGATATACCACCAAAACTATCGCATGCCTATGCTCATCTAGGAATCATATATTATTTCGGATTCTAGTTATAAGAATAAATAGATACCCAGGAGAATGAATCCTAGTCTAGGATCCGATGAATTCCGATCGGTTCCTATTGGAATCCGACGGAGCTCTTCGGAAGGCGCAAGGAAACTATCGGATTATCGTCGGATTCCTGGTTCCGGAATCGATATCGGATCCTAATATTGGAAACTAATAAAATCCGACAGTAACCGTCAATCAGAACCGGAATGCTTCGGATTTCATTGGTTCCGACAATCGGATATCCTTGGAAATACGACTGTCGGATTCGACATTGATTCCTCAACCAGGAATCCAACGGGATTTCGTCGGATGGTAGGACCCCATAGAATCCGATGGGATTCGGTATCGGATTGATTCACCTGGGTATAAATAAAATCTTTTTCTTTCTGAAATAAAGATAAATAATAGTTTTTATTCAAGCAAAAAGAATAATTTTTAATAATTTAAAGATTAAAAAAAATAATAAAGAAACTTCTTTTGATAGTTTATGCTTTAATTTTAGGCGAGTATTTCACGAAAAGAAGTTAAACTAAGGATCAGAATGAACTATAAAGAAGACATTTTTGCATATGCTTCTCCGTGCATTCGATTGTTTCTTCAATCATATTATATATGTATTAGGGGATTCGTTGTTCTCCCTTCTTGTTTATTGGAAATCGAAAAACTAACTACAAAACAAATAACATGTTGTATACACACATATATATCTCTCTCTTCTCCGTTGAGAAGACAACATATATATTTATAAATTTATATATATGACGATAGATGTGGTGGGTGACTAGATAGAAGAAGAAAAGAAATAACATAATAATATGTGAGGGTAAGCCCGTAACAACATGACGCAGTGATGTGCTGGTAATAAGAAAGAATATCCATTAACATATCTTTTTGTAAGAATAGGTCTTTTGTGTTTTTATCTGTTGCAAAAATCATTTTCTATTGCTTATTCGATCTTAATTTTAGGAAGATAAAAGCAAAATACCTATTATGGCAAGAGCTAATCTCACATCCCATAAACAATATTTTATCCTCATTAATAGTATCACGTCGAGGATAGTTATGCTTGTCTGGCATTTTATCATGATACTTGTATCGGGCTTAGGAATTTCGATTCAGGGGAAAAGAAAGAAAAAGGGAAGAAGCGTAACAATAACACGTCTATACCTGACAAAAATAGTAGCATAGAAAATTGACAACCAATGTAAACTTGTGATCTTCTGCTATACGTTGTTGAACTACTTACAGGAAATTTTCTAATATAAGATGAGCTTCTGTTCTAGAGAACTGCTGTAATAATTTCTCAAACTTGTAATTTAAAAATAGCTCTTGGTTTGATTCTCATTGTTGAAGTGCGTTTTCATGTTCATCAACGTTTTCAAGAGGAAAATTATACAATATTGTGATTTGAAGTCATTTATAAAAATACGATATCAATATGAACACTTCCGAATGGATCGTATAGGTTTGGGACGACTGAGAATGCGTGAATAAGATTTTCCCGCAATTAAAAATATACTGAAGATTACAGACGACAGAAAGAGCACGTAATAATGTGGAAATCACAC